GACTCAATCTGGCCCATGTGTTGAGCCAGAGGTTACCACATTTGAATATGTCACTAGGGAAGAGTTCCATTCCCATTTCACCTCTATGTGGTGCTCCTTGGAAGAGCTAAAACTCAGCATGACCCGTGTAGAGCCGTCACCTTCTACACCTGCTCTGGATGAGATACGAGCATCATTGGCAGTACTAAGAGCTGAGTCCACAACAAATGCTTCTCGTATCAACACACTAATGGAATTGACGGCAACCAATACAGCAACCTTATAGCCGGTTGTTGCATTTGTACAGAGAGTTGAGGCGTCTACGTCACTCAACAACCAAGCCCTCATACCTCTGAGTGTACCTGTGGACTATGTCACACAGAGCGCCATGAATGCTCTGGGTGACAGACTCCTACAGAAGGTGGCGGACTTCACTGCAGACTTCAATAACAAGGCCATAACAGCTGCAAAGAACATCAATGACACTCTCGCATGATTCAACTACCATTCAGATGACGAAGTGCGAAGGGTTGCCGTTGCAGTCGATGAACTCCTCAAAACCATCGAAGAAGTGATCAACTCCATGTCTCGAGCAGAGGAAGAAAGACCTAAGCGACAACGAGATCAGTCTCTATGTGCTGAACCGTCGAAGAGGAGGCGACATGACGATGATGAGGACCCAGACGAGTCTCGTCCTCAAAATCGCTAAGAGGGGGAGAACCTGCCTACAACCATACCAACTACAACACCTCCGGATGTCCCCTCTGCATCATCATCCTCTGCTCCACGCCATCAAAGTCAACCAAGGCAAAGCAGACAAAGCCAACAAGTGCCAGACAACGCAGAGGCACTACGCAAAGGGAAAATGCCTATGACATTAGAGGCAGAGCTAGCCGTATCACACAAGTCTACAGAAGTGATCAACCTTCTATCTACCTATGGATCAGACGACTCTGACCTGGCTCTGTCCTCCTCAACAGAGTATGATATGGACATGGCTGTTCCACCAACAATAGCTCAACAAGAAGAAGAGGTGGTAGCCATAATTGTGGCTGATCCATCGCTACTACACATTTTGATTGCCATTCCTCTAGAAGAAGTAATCGTTGCAGCTCCTCCACCACATCCAAGAACCCACAAAGCTAGGGTCCCTGTTCAAGGGACCAGGATTGTCACTCTTGCCATGAAGCATGTACCTATCAATCCAAACAGAGCAGACTCGGAAGGCACAACGAGCAGGCAAAAACAGAAGCATCCTTCTGATCGCGTCCAAAGGATCAAAGCAAGCATGGATGCCATGTTCAAACCAACACCCACCGACAAACCCATCAAGGAAAAGGCAGATAGCGAGGAAATCTACCAATACCTTTACAACCAAAGGGAAGAGACACCGGTCCAGAAGATTAGTCTCCATCTGATGGCTCAAGAGCACATCAGTTAGAGATTCCTCAATCGCTATACTAAACCAATCACTGCAGTCCACTTCGTTGATGGAATTAAATAAGTCCTAGACATAAAAAAGCACACCTTTGCACATAATCAGATAGTGTTCTACGAGTACACAGTTGAAAAGACTCACGGACGGATATGTAGGTTCACAGATTGTGACCTCATTAATCTAAATCGGTGGGATCTTCTTCATCTGTTCTACTTTACAGACCACAAGAAGGACAAGGGAGTGAAGTTAGTTGTTGCCAACACTGCCATCCGCCAGACAATGGTAGATCTGCTTGAGTACAGAAGCAAGTTTGACTTCCAACTAGCTCTGGATCTAGGAGCAGATCAAATGACAGTTGCTGCCCCAAATGAAGAATTACATGGCATCAACAACATTCCCTCCTGGACGGTTCTGGTGGAACCAGAAGTGGGAGTGGTGTTTCAAAATGAGCACAATCAGAAGATCTTCTTTCAAGATGATAAAAATTACAAGTACTCCAACTCTACTCTGCGCTATATAAGAGACAACTCCCCTGGAGCTAAGGAGCGTGCCAAAATAATTCTAAGGTCCATTCGAAATATGCTTGAGTTTCGTGAACTTCTTAGGAAGTTCATTAGACTTCAAAATACTTAAGACCTCTTATGTTTTGTAAGTACATTCTCAGTTCTGTTTCAATGTAATTTCAATTTCAATCGTACTGTACTTCATTAGATAATAAATGTAAACCAAAGGCTGTTTTAGACCTCTGTCTTCTTTTAGACTTGTTTTGCAAATCAAGTAAGAGTCCTTCTTATTTACACTTAGGGGGAGATTGTTAGACCCCACACCTATAAAAGTATAAGTAAGAAGTGTCTTGCTCTAGTCAATAGGACTTTGTCTAAAGAAGCTGTCTGGCTAAGAGCTCTCATGCAGAAGATCAAGGGCCAGAGCTCTTACTCAGAGTAAAGGTTCCACTATACAGAGCCCGCGCTCTATCTCCGTGATCGTTCAAGTCTTGTGCGCTAAAAAGCATAAGCGTTTGACTCCAAGCAACAACTCCAAGACCCAGAGCCTCTGCATAGTACATGCAGGGCTTCTGCATATGCAGAGCCTCTGCATAGTACATGCAGAGCCTCTGTATGTTCATGCTAAGCATCTGGTTACCACCTTCATGAAAAGTGCGCGTTAGCCCAGACATTCTCGCAAGCGTCTAACAACTTAACGGCGGCTTGACCAAGCCTGCTCCACTATTCAAGGAAGTCAAAGATAAGGATGCAGACTAGCCAGCTCAGAGTTTCATGCCTAATTTATAGCATAGTTAGTTAGACACAAGTGTATAAAAGGAGGCATCCGCCTCAGGTTCAAATTACCTGAAGGAGCCGACTTAAACTATACGCAAACTCTTGTGAGATTACATTTGTTTTTCAATTGTTCATCATTTATAAATAAAAGCATTTGGTTATTSAAAGAGTTGTTTTGACTGCTTTATGTTTCCCTTTGAATATCTAGTTTAATCAATAGAAATACCTGTTATTCTTAAGTATTATTTTAAGTAAACAATATTTCTGCAAATTTAGAGTATCTGGGTGCAACAAACTCGTTGGTTTTGCATGTTGAGCACATAATCCTTCTCTTGCTAAGATTGATCAGATCATTAGTGGATCTCACAATGGAAGGAAGAACAGAGTTAGTAACAACAGATGTATGAGATGAAACATAATCAGCTTTATTAACGCAAATGCTTTTAGTCTTATCAGATTTATTGGGTGATCCAATGACATACCTTTGATAAAATTGTTTTGAATAATGAGACTTGTTCTTAGAAACAGTTGATTTAGGACTGCTTGAATAACTGTTGGATTTAACACTGAAACGGTTATAAAAGAAAACTGAAATTGAGAACCAGCTAAGCTTTCAGTTCTTGAAAAGTCTGAAACTTTCTTAAGTAACTGATCTCTCTCATCAGCAACTAAACCATACTTCTTCTTAAGTTCAGCTCTCATCACAAGTTTTGTCTCTAGACCAGACAGCTTCTTTGAAGTATCCAAAAACTTACCTTCTAATTCTTTCTTCAACTTTTCAAACACTTTTCTTTCTTTCTCAAACTTCTTTCTTTCTTCATCTGAACTTTCCTTATCATTTTTTGAAGCAATGTCAAGCCATTTCTTTTTCTCAGTAAGCTTTTTGGCAATTGCAGCATGTTTCTTAACAGTATTTCTCTTTTCAAGAACAAACAATATTTTCTCTTCATCTAGGGCTTTCTGCTTTAGTTCAGCCTCTTTCTTTTCTATATCAACCTTGGCTCGTTCCAAGATGATAAGTTGTTCAAAATTTGAAATTTGATTCAAAAGAAATTTAGCATTCAGCTCAAGAGAATTAATCTTATTTTCATAAGATTCACGTTTAGTACAAAATCTTTTCTCAATTTCTATAATCTTTTTCTTCCCTTTCTCCAAAACTTTCCTTTCAACATTCAAATCCTTTCCCGCTTCTAAAACCTTTTCTTTCTCTCGTTCCAATAACTTCCTTTCATCAATAACTTTCTTTTTAGCTTCATGAAGTTTCTCTGTAAGCTCTTCAATCTCATTACTTTTCTTTTCTGGAAAATTCCTTACAGCATTTAGTTCAGACTCAGCTTTATGAAGTTTATTGACTAAATCTTGTTTTATCTTATTGGAACTGCTTATCTCAGCCTCTAATTCTTTTCTTGCTGCATCCAAAGTTTTCTCAAGTTTACTTATCTTCTGCGAGGAACCTTCTTCAGAATTTTCCCTCAAAGCTCTATTCTCTCTTTGCAGATCCTTAATGAATTCCTTATCTGCATAGTTTTCATCAAACATATTTATGTATTTCTCTTTATAGTCTTCTACCCTCTTTTCCAATTCAACAATCCTCTCTCTCAATTCTTTATCCTCTCTCTCATATGAAACTGCCAATTAAAAAAAAATTGATTTTGGATCAAATGCGATGAAATCAGTAAAAAGAAATCAAAGATACAATTAAGCTCAAACACACAAACAGAAAAACACAAAAACAGTTGAGAAATCAAAGAATCGACGAAAAACTGTCAAATATCAGTAAAAACAGTCAAAACTGTTGAAAACTGTAAAAAACTATTAAAAACAGTCAAAGACAATTAAAACTGATTAAAACAGTTTATGTGATGTAGAATAGTTCAAAAATTTCTCAAACAGTTAAAAAAACACAGACCAAAACAAATAAAACGATGATCCAAAAAATTAAAATCTAAAAAAAAAATTAAACCCAAGAAGATACAAGCCCAAAACAAGAGAAGCCTACAAATATTTACACAAACTCTGTCAAGATAATCCTACGTCTCCAGTCCTTCCTCTAGAATTTCACTGATATCCTCAATCTATACTCAAAGCTGTGAGGCCAAGTCGTGAAGTCCTCTTCAGTTGACATGTGTGATTTAGAATGACAGTTAACAAATTTCAAACAAATCTATATGTTGTCAAAATTAGTCACAAACATAAACACAAATATAAATCTCAACATTACTGAGAAAAAATTTCCAATTACTGTTTACAATAGGACAACTTCAAAACTTGAGAAGGAACCTAATCCGGACAAAATCTATATATCACGGCTTCTCTTTGATATCTATAACAGTCTCGAACTCAGCACTCTTATTCATTGCATAACCTCTCCTAAGCATTAAAACAACAAGATATGATGTTATGTAGCGTCCAGCAACATTCATACACTTTGTAAGATGAGGGAATGAGTAGCCATCTACAACGGGAACCACATGAATGACACCATCGTCGGCGTCAACGACTAATCCAGTAAGTAAACCTTGAGCATACAATGTTAAAACAACTTGTATTTGTGAAATCTGTGAAAAACAGTAAGTATCCTTCAGTTGGACAAGTTGAAATCTTTATAAATCAAAAGCTGCTATGTAAGGCTTTCCTGGTTAAAAGGACCAGCATACAGTGAATCGTACAGACTATTAGCTCACCATATCAAATTATTTAAACAAAACCAATCACCGAATCAATCAATTTCTCTCAAAACAGGTGAACATAAACTTCGAGAAACAATTCTTTCCAGAGGCGCAATTAATCTGAGAAGCAGTAGAACTTCTAAAGAGATATCCTGAATTCCAAAGTGCTCTGCGACAAATTCCAGCTTAGAAACGTTCCCCCCTTATGGTTTCATTTACAAAATTAGAATCAGGCGTGTTCACCTCTTCCAACCCTTGAGCGATTTACCTGTTCGATAAGCCACAAATTCGCCTAAGAGACAAGCGATTTAACCTAATATAGAAACACCAAGTCCGAATGATGCGATTACGACTCAAAACTCATTGTCTGCAATCATAGTTCTTCAAGTCAGATGACAGTGATAAAGATGGTATGTGAAAAAGATGAAATCGAACAGGGAGGATTCTTCAATTTAGGTCAAGAAAAGTGCTATGCGATGAATGCAGTGACCAAGGATGAAACACCTAATCGGCTGATTAACAAGTCTTTAAGCGATTAAACAGAATCCTGTGAGCGATGAAGAGACAGGTGAGCAATTTACAACTTCTGTGTGCGATTTAGACTTCAAGCGATGTACAACAATCCGGTTGACAACAAGCGATTTACCATAACTTGCTAGCGACTGACTTTGACCGATTTACTTGAATCCGGCTGAGCCTACACACGATTTACTAGAATTCGGAGAGATGAGTTGAGCGATTTACTAAACCGGATGAAAATGGTGAACGATTTACCTTGAATCCGGACAAGGGTTGAGCGATGTAGATGAAATCCGGAGAAGGTAATGTGCGATTTAAGAGCAAATCGAATGAGGGTTTGAGCGATTAAGGTTCTGTGAGAAGAGCGATGAAGATGAGACGAGAAAGGGCTAAATCCAAAATCTGATGGGTTGGGCTAAAAAAAATTGGGTCTTGAGCGATTTAGAAAACAAAAACACAAAAAATTTAATCAAAATGGATCAAAACACTGGTTTTTCAAAAAAATTCAAGAACACAAAAAAATTTAAAAACATAAAATCGATTGAATCACAAAATGGAATGATCAAATCACAAAATATTGTGAATACTAAAGATTCACACTTTAATTCCACACAGTTTGATCCCAAATTTTACACAAAAACACGAAAATTTTCAAAAAAATTTGGATCAAACCTAAAGAAAAATGAAGAACTTTAAGAAAAAGATGAAGAACACACAAAAATTCCAGAAAAAATTTCTTCACAAAACCTTCAAAATTGATGATTTCTTTTCATGATTTCGTGCATAATCCGCTCTGATACCAATTATTTGTCCCTAACAATCAATCTTCATGTAAACCTTCAAGATCATCAATGGCAGAAAGAGTTTTCTATTAAGAATATGTAGGAGAAGAGAGAGAGAAAGTCAACACATTCAATCTTGGTCAAACTCTCAATTCGTATACTGATTTACAATAAGCTCCTTCACTAAAATTACAAAGCCAACACCCTTTATATAGGGTCAAACTAGACAAAATAGTTAAAGTCAAACTATCCTAATAAAAGTCAAACACGATGACTTTTATACAATTATAGACAATTTTATCTTTCAAGACAAATACAATTTTACACTGAATTTCATTCCTAACAATTATAAATGTTTTTGTTTGGAAATGTTTTTTCATAGATGAAGGGAGTTTGCTTTTTAATTGGAAGATTCAGGTGTGGAAATAACTTGCTTTTCTGCATAAAGCTCCTCCTAGAAACTTACTGAAAAAGCCAGTTTCTAATTGTTAAGCCACTACCAAACAATTTTGTATGGATGAGTGGAAAACCTGTGAGTCTCATTAAATTAATTAAGCTGCTAACAAGCATGTCCTATTAATGTTATTAATGAATTTAGGCATATCGCTAATGTTCCTTCTGAGTCAAGATTAAACTTTTCTTTTGACTATAGTTTGGCATTACAGTGGTAGCAACTGGTGAACCGGGAGTATGCTAAAAGTCAGTTTATTGTCATAATGAAAATATCTAGAGAATCTAGAGGATTGATAGAGAGAAGTATAGAGAGTCATTAACTTGGGAAGTAGAAGTCATTGCAGATCTTGTTTATAAAATTAAACAAATTGCTCTGATACCATGTGTTGGTTGCTGATGGGTTAATGACTTATACTACAAGTGTTTGTGAAAGTGGGGTTGAATACAAGCATGATAAATTTTCACTTTTTAATTCTATATTTTGTATTAAAACAAAGAATTACGAAGTCTTTACGGAAGCTAGAAACGTAAGACCTGTGACCCTAAACAATCTAACTGGTTGATGAATTTGCTAATAACTGAAAAAGTAAGAGACGAAGGCACTCCTTTAGATCTGAAGAACTGAGATAGTCTTCAGAGTTTAAGGCATCGATTTACAAGAATATGCACTTAGAAATTCTTTAAAAGGGACAATTGCATTATCCAAATACTGTCTTTTATAGCAGTTTATGCTTTAAATGCAACAATGCAACTTCAACACATGTCTTCATTTGATTTGTTGATCCATATACCTTTGTACTTTTCATATCAACCTTTTGATATGATGTAGACATTTGTTGCTTTAACCCCTCCTTCTATATGCCAAATGAACTATAAAGAAAGTATGATACTGATAAAATAGTACTTTTAAACTTGCTTTGGCTGGCATGTTAAGCATGTCCCTATACCAGGACATAGGTTGGAACCTTGGTCCTTAAGTTTTCTCCATGTTTTTATATTCATAGTGAAAAGCAAAGGAAGTGAATATTACTTATTTTGGCTGACATGCTGAACATATTCCCATTTTAGGATTAAGAGTTGGTAAAAGAAACTTGATCCCAAAGTCTCGATTCAAATCGGCTTGTCAGATAGTATTTATCAAACTATATGACTGATTTGTCTTCTGATCTTCTATCGGCTAGATGATAAATCCAATCTACTTTGGTGTCTATCTAACTTCACTTTAACTAATCTTCGATCTTGCTAAAGGCGTTTTACTTGATTAGATAACAAATTATAAAATAGGACTTACAGTGGAAATTCCATTTTTAATGATGATTGGGTATTTGAATTACAAGGTGTATTCCAGATACACCAAAAACACATCCTTATCAATTTTGGACCCTTGACTATCGGATCCTATACAAATCAGATTCTCTAACATTTCAGATCCTATTTGTATTTTGGATAGTAGGAAACAACTTAAATTCCTAAATTGTTCTAAGTGTTTGATCAGATGTTATTATGTATTATTAAAGAATCCAGTGGTTGAGACCAACATAACTCTTTTTGTCACATATTTGTTTTGCTCGTTAGTTCTCTAGTGGATGCCTTAATAGTAGAGGTAGCTAGCGGTAGTCAAGCCCTTATTCGGGAAATTCTCAGAGGTTGTATCCTAGAAATCGAGAGATAGATGTTCTCGGTAAACCTCTTATCGGTGTCTATCTATAGATATTGTGATCATAATGGATTTGTTGGTAGAGAACCAAGCCAAAATCTTGTGTTCCAAGAATTTGATCCGGATCCTGATTTCGGGCGACGATGTGGTGCTTGTCAATGAAGAAAAGAGAGTACGTTATGGTTATCTCAATTGTGAAAGCACGCAAGTGCTTGGTTAAAGGGCGTTCCTCATACTTGGTATACGTGTTGGATGCTAAGTTACAGCAGAAGAGGCTTGAAGACGTAAAGGCCATCTGCGATTTTCCCAACATAATTCTCGAGGACTTGCCTGGTTTTCCACCCAACTGACAAGTAACTTTCCAAATTGATCTTCTTCTAGGAGCCGCTCCAACTGATAGAATGCATTTTTGTTGGCTCCATCTAAAATTCAAGGGATGATGTCACAATTACAAGATATTCTTGAAAAGCAATTTGTGAGACCGAGTTCATCACCTTGGGGAGCTCTGGTCTTATTCGTGAAGAAGAAGGATGGTACTATCAGGATGTGCATAGATTATTGAGAACTAAACAAGACAACTGTGAAGAACACATATCAACTTCCTATGATTGATGATCTATTTGATGAACTTCAAGGAGCAGGTTGCTTCTCGAAAATCGACCTATGTTCGGGGTATCGTCAAGTGAAGGTGAAGGATGTTGATGTAGTGAAGACAACTTTTAGGACGCCTTATGGTCATTATGAATTCCTAGTAATGTCATTCAGTTTGACGAACGCACCAGCGGTGTTTATGGGCTTGATGAACTGAGTATGCTGACCCTTCCTTGACAAGTCGGTAATCATGTTCATCAACGACATACTCATTTATTTCAAGAGTGATTCGGATCATGGGTAACACCTCTGAGAAGTCCTAGAAGTGCTAAGAAAAGGAGTTGTATGCAAAATTCTTCAAATGTGATTTTTGGTTGGAAGAAGTCCAATTCTTGAATGCAAATTACCATTTATCTCTTCTTAGTGGATGTGTGCAGTAAGTCAACCAATCCAATTAGAACCGACTGAGTATAAATGGATCAGATGAGAAAATTCAACATCCAATTTGGATTGGTTGGTTATTGGATGACAGTTCAAAACTGTAATAGTCTGGTTATTATTTTGGTTATATATATGTTATATGTTTGGATATGTGTGTGTATATTATTTTAAATAAAGAAAAGAGGGGGAGTCGGCTATTGAGCCCCCCCTCACTTCCCCTTGTGGTTGTGTAAGTATATATATAGTTGTTGTGAAGAAAAACACATACATACACCTACTATATTTGGAAAGTTGCTCTGGAGAGTTTTAAAGATTTGCACAGGAAGAAGAAGAAGGTCTCAAAAGGTTTTGATTCTCATTTCAAAAAGGTGAGTGTTTAGAGCTTTGAATATGTATTGCTTATATA